AAATTATCATACGGAAATATGATATTCAGTGCCGTATCGAAGCTGCCGTTGCCCTGTGCACGGGAAAATCTATTGGTCGCCGTGCTATCCGAATGCCGGGGAACTGGCTGGTTTGTATATTTGACAGCTTAGCGAAACGTCGTAGCAACGATATTCTGGATTGACGTAAGGGGCCTTATACGACTCCGATAAGGTGTTACGTATGGCTACGTATCTTCGTAGGTAATTGTACGGTAGAATTAAAGTGTGCAATTTTCTATTAAACAGCGAATTTATCGGACACATGTACCCGACGAATTCAATACATCGCCTGGTAGCCAGTTCCATTATTTATGTTTTATCAATGGCCACTCGTTCGTAGTACGTGAAACGCGTAAGTGTCGATATTCCGCGAGGAATTTTTGAATTTCAAATCCCACTCGACCCGAATCCTATTTTGGTTTTCAGGCTCATTCCCATGCCTGATATTTATTATGGCTCGGTGTACGTTGCGCGTACCAGGGCGTTATCAGATGATTCTCCCGTTTGGTCATTGGGCATATATACATCCGACTGCCGACTGTCATATATATAACACTCAAGAATAGCGCAAAACACTGGGGACAACGTATTTTTATACGGATTCGAAAACGAAACGCGTTAGTCCTGGATATCTTTGTTAAATGTCTAATACGTAAGTCATTCAATGTCACTTGCTTCTAGTACCTCCTCTACGATACATTTTACCCGGTCGTCCTTGATTGTGTTACACGGAATCATTGTACATATATAAAAAAAGAGCGGTTGATCCGTAGCCGACATAATTTTTACGACCTTTCGCCGGGAGTTACGTTAGCCGGTCAGTCGAAGACCGCGAGGTTATTCAATTTGCGGGTAACGAGGCGAGCTGTAACGAAATATCGGGAAGGATGAACCCGATCGACAATGACGAATCGTATCTGGTAACCTAATAATGCCGGGTGGGGGTCAGGCATTTTAGACCCTAATTAAATTGCATTGAGGAAGTCGTTCGGTTTTGGATTTTTTTTCTTTCTTTTTCGTTGCGCGACCTCAGCAGTGGCTCTTGCGTAAGTGACTAATAACGTTGCAACCGGCTGGCCTAGAATGATGAACGCTAAACCTCGTTTCATACATAATTACGCACATGGGTATTTTTCATGTGTGTATATATATATATATACACACGTGCACTCGATACCAACACCGGCTCTTGACTATTGCCTGTTTGACGTGGCTGCGTACGAGAGTTTTAGCTTTATGTGGGTCATAGGGCCTGCTGCACCGCTGGGGTATTGATGAAGTGTATCTGCCGAGTAGGTGGCGCTATCTAAGTGGGTCAGTGGTTTCGGCTTTGGTTAGAACAACTAGGTCGAGTAGCGCGAGATCGCGTGTTGCAACGTAAACGCAAATAAACGCAACCAGCGCGTTCCCTGTGCTATCTAAGTGGGTCAGTGGTTTCGGCTTTGGTTAGAACAACTAGGTCGA